ACAATTTATTTTTTATAGACTTGTTTATATGCGGTCAAATATGTTCACTTCGACCTGAAGATATTTCAAACGGATGCAGGTCTTACAGGCTAATTTTTGCCGACTCTAAACACTTTGTTTACGATCAAAGGCTCGAAAAGTAGTTATTTTCTTGAGTTGTGAACCAGTCTTATACCCGTAATAAAAAAATATTCATCCCAGATTTTCCACCGTTCCCTAGAATATATAGTTCAATAACCAACGCCTTCGGATTAGAAACGCAGGATTAATGGATTAACTGATTAAAACGAGAGTCTAATCATACTTAGCCTGGAGCTTGGAAAAATAGATTCACTACTCGTAGTGGCGTGGTTAACTTCCATTTTTGATTTAGCGATTCTTTTTCGCATCTTGACTTTTTGTCTAAAAACCAGGAGGCAGGCTGTTGTGGTATAGGAAGAACGCTGTGCGAATACTCGAATGTTGCCAAATTTTTCTCAATAAAATATTTATTTTTAAGGAAAAGTCACAAGTAATATTATCTTGAAATTTTCACATAGCTATTTTAAATTGTAAATAATATGCTCTAAAATTTTCAAAGAAATATTAAATCATAAGACTACTAAAGACTCCAAATTTTATTAGAAGTCTTTCGGCGACGTCCAAATGTCTACACAGCCTTTTATCCTTGCGAAAAACATGAGGCTTTAGCCAATTTTTTTTTTTAAATGTTAATTTTTTTGGAAAGTTATGAATATTTTTCTCGAAATTTTTAGATATTCTATCGGGGCAAAAATCACAAGATCTCTAAAAGATCCGTGTTTACAGAAAAAAAACTTGGCAACGTCAAGATATTCACACATTTTTCCTCAAGAAAACGTCAGACTTTGGACCTATTTCCATCACTTTGAGCGTTCGGTAAACTCTTTTGAAAATGAGGGGTGTTTCCTTGGCGTTAATTTGTTTTAATCAGAGGTGGCGTAATTGCCTCGCGGAAATTCGAACAAAGAGCCTTCCATATTCCTGAAAAACAAATCACCTTCGCACCAATCGGAGACGCCTCGATCATAGGTGGAATCGGAACTTAGAGGAAGGTCAAGAATCTGAAAATGAGAGCAATTTGTCGAGATTTACGGCTCGCGGCTGACGTGAAGACTATTAATTGGAATTAGGAGGGTATGACAGGTTGAATATACCCAACGAAGGAGTGGTTCGTGGCTGCCAATTTTAAAAGAAAAATTTTATCGGGACAAAATTTCGATGAATTTCCGAGTTTTTTGGTCTTGGTTTTTTTGTGACATTTGGGCAGCCAGGGTGTCTGCAAGTCCGGAATTTCCGGAAAGTCCGGAAATAGTACAATTTTTGTAAGGGCGGTCCGGAGGTACTGAAAAAGTACGGAAATTCAGCAAGAAGGCCCGGATATTTTTCATTTTTTTGTCATTTTGGTCGCAATTTGAGCGAGAAATTCAAATGTTTGAAACTTTTTGAATTTCGTTAATTGGAGGTACTGACAAAGTACTGAATTTGTCTGTTGAAGAGGTACTGAATTTCTTGGGTATGTGCTGAAAAAGTACTGCAAAAGTACTGATTTTTGGACAGCCTGTTTTAATAGACACCCCGGCAGCATTACTCAATTTGAGATGATTAGTGGGAAAAGGTGGCTTATTAGCAATTTGTAGCAATTGGGCTACCTGCGCGTAAATACAAAATCGTGTTCTGCTGGTTTTGTCATATGGATAAAAAAGGGGCAAAATGTAAAGTTTTCTATTATATATTAATCTTAATTCGTCAAATTCCGGACGAAGAAACGTAACTCCTTTCCAAGATTGCAAAATTTACTCGAACAACTCAATTTTTCTTAAGTGTATAAGCGTGCAATTTCCGTCAAAATTGTTCCTGATTTTTGCATAAGATCAAAGGAAAAATCAGCAAAGTTCTCAGTTAGAAATGCCTGAGATTTTCCTGGTTAAATTCAATTTGCGAAGGGAAATTTGGCAACATTGAAATCTAGTTATGTTCTTTCATAAGGGAGGCGACGAATTATTACATAAATATGTATCAATCCTTTATCAACGATGAAACTACCAAAACGCGTAATTTGGATCGCAACCCTGCAGACTTTCTCTCATAACTTTTTCCCCAAATAGAAGAACCGCAGAATAACGTTTTGTCTCTACGTGAAAAAACCTTCAGAATAAAATGTTGCACGACCAAATCACCATAAATTGATTTAGTTTTGTTTTCCGATGAGACAACCTCGCCAAAAGACCGGGTATTGCGTAATGTTTCTAGAGATATCATTTCAGCCGCCTCTGATGAATGCACATTTTATATTTACCTTAATCTAAATTGACCACACTCGTGGGGCGTAGGTCCAAAACATTCTTTGACAAGTCTCCCCGGTGGAATTCTCCGCGATGCCGAATGTAATGAAAACGCAACGGTGATCTCCCTTTACAATTCAGATCATTGCCAAGAAGGAAGTCTTTTCTATTAGAAAAGTTTCCTTTGAATATATAGTTGGGCGTTTCAAAATTGACCTCTGATTAATCAAAATACAGTATAATACGCTCTTAGATTTTCACAATTAAAAATTTGGGACGCTATGGGTTAGTTGCGCTTGTTACAGAATTGTGTTTCGATTATTTTAAATCATACATATCAGGAAAAAATAATAAGATCTGTCCGAACACCAAGTTTCCATGTCCAGTATGAGTGAAAATATCGCCTATTAAAAAACAGGGCGTATGGTGTCATCCACCGCGGTAGTGCAGACCATGGTTTCTCTCTTCTTGATTGTCTATTCAGTTGAAAAACCCGTGGAAATGTGTGTATCACTGATTGATGAAACCGAAATGGAGAGAATTCGTGGAATGTACCACTGTGATGGATGAAGTCATACGCCGTGTTTTTGGAGGGTGGTATCTATGTTTATGTTGGACTTTTAAACTAGGCGTTATTGGGTAGATATCATTTTTTTGCTAATCCATGACCTTTTACCATTAAAAGGCAATTCTAAGACCAATGAAATGATCCATAGCGTGAGTAGTCACTCGGCTAGATCGGACGCCGCGGGATGGCATACTTTCTTTCCCTTTCGTTTGAGTCTCCAAGGTGGCCTCTTGGAAGTAAAGACATTCTGGTCTCACTATGTCAATTGTGTGACTGTACTTTTGGTCACGTGGCTAACCCTCTAAAAATTGAATAAGCTGATGGTTGTAATACGTATCTACCAACCAACCACGAGTCCAGTGACTAGCGCCAATCGCCACAATTTTCAAGAAGATATACTCCTCTAATACTAGCTTCTTACACCAACTTGCCACTGAGTTCCACTGGCGGATCCAGCAAATTGGCAACATTGTTTTTCTCCATTTAAACCTATGGAAACGAATCGATTTTTAGAAGGGCCAGGTACTCCGGCAATAATCGATTATTTAACATAGGTTTAAATGGAGGAAATCCGGTGTTGCCAAATTGCTGTATCCACCTCTGCTGAGTTCGCTCCGCAGTTTTTGACTGATCCTCCAGCTTCAGCCATCAAATTATTCCGCGACACGCGCAACTAATTTGTGGTTCAATTTGACAACACCGAGAGGACGAAGGAAGACTAATTCATGAACCTAAATAAACTCTCGGGGAGACAGTTGATATCAATTAGAGTCGCGCGAATACTCTGAACGGCCTGTTTTCCCGGGGACGCATTCAGCCGAGCTTCTCGTCGCATAAAGAAGAGCCTGATAGGACTCGGCTTAATGTAAATGAAGAAGAAATCCGCATGATCTGGGATACATGTTCCTCAATTAAGAGTTGAAGAAGTCGGCGGTCTTATGTCCATAAGCGGTTCTCCGTTGGAAGGGATCACAGGGACCAAATAGACAAAACAGCGATAACGAATATTTGGCAATTCGGATCCAAGAACTTATTGCAGACGTTTGTTATCTACACATGTTCGCCTCAATATTGCAGCAATTTTACAGGAATAATGCAGAGCGATAACAAGGCAGTTGAGGACTTCGTCTGAGTCTTTCGTAATTTAGAAAACATGTCAATGAAACAAAGATTTGATATTGAAATTGAATCCTGAATTACAACTCCGCCTTTGACTTCTCTTGAAAGCATATTAGATAAAGCGTAGTGGAGCAGAAGTTAAGATGATTCTGCGGGACTAGAGAAAGCTTTCAGGATTGCGGTATATGACTAACGGCTTGGATATAAACAAGTTCGAGGCCTAAGGCTGTTTGTGCCCATGAAAGTAGGAGAAAACAGGTTGACCTGTGACCTAACCGCGTGAAGTCGCTGGATCAAAACTTTGAGGCCAATACATAGATCAACTTCTGAGCCATATTTTAAACTGTCATATTTTGAGAAAGGAAACCTTAACTTTTTACCTCTTTACATTTTCATGAATCTACAAAATGTTTGAAATTAAAACGCAGTCTTTCTACAACCTGCACGTTTTTTTATGGGCGTTAGTCGAACGCTCAGCAGTAGAAATAGAACAGCAGAAGACTGCAAGTTAAAAATTAGTCATAACAACACACGTTCTCTTGTCAATAATCTAAGTAGAACATGGTGAACACATTGAAAATTTTTAAATTCTATATTTATTCATGTGAGAGAAGCGATTTTAGTGATCGTAAAGATGAGGCACCGCCCACCAAAAATTAAAGGTTTAACTAACAGCTGTATCCAGGATCGACCTCCATAAAAATGTGCCTTCTTTTGAGAGAGGCAGGGGTGAAAATATTCTACCCGTCCGATGTGAAAAACAGTTTGGTTAATTGATCAATTAACTTCATATGTTTCTGTCCTTAAAGTTTTTAAATTCTATTTAAAAATATTTTTTTATTCATGCTGATCCGTATCATTACAATACATTTGATCAATTTTCCTACGATATAAAATGGAGGCTCCTCATTTCTAGTATTTTGAGGGACCCTGTTTAGGTTAAAGTAAACACAATACAAATAGAAAATAATCATTGCAGCGAAGTTATTACTAAAAGAATAAACTCTTACCTGAACTGAGCACCTCATTTTGATAAAAATATAGTATAAAACTTCAAGAAAGAACTCTCCTGTAACAGGAGAAAAGGAACCAAAATTCTAAAATTATAACCCGAAAAATTCACCTCTCACAACACCCGTGCGGCAAGACCGAAGATACCCAGTAACTCCTGGTTAGGATGAGAAGCTACTGAGATCTAATATTAGCAGGAAATTTAACTTCACCTGTGGGTCCGCCTCGGACCCACCGGCTCTCTCTCTATCCTCTCCCCCACTTAGCAGCTCCTCTCTTTCTTTTCAGTCTCTCTCATCCTTTCTTCTCCTTTCTCCGCCGCGCCCTGCGATACATTTTCAATTTTTTCGCCTTGTTCTCGGGTGCATCGCAATGAACATAGACGAACCATTAATCCCTTTTAATGCACCCACGAATCAACATGTGTTCCGATTTATTTTGACCATGCAAATAAACCGGTTCCCCTTTGTGTTCACGCCGTTTTTCAAGAGATCTAGGTCCCTTGGCTTGGTGCTGTGTGCGACGTACAACGTTGACCGATGCTTAATTAAGTAATGGAACAAGAAACAGTTGATCGGATTAGGACTATTAGATGGGATAGTTTGTCACCAAGCCCACACTTGAATCAGCCCAATCAGTGACTGTAAAGGGCGTCTTTAATCGGCTTCTGGTTATTTTCAAGCTTTCATTTCTCCTCTCGTTTACTCATCAGCCTCTAAGTGCTAACTAATTCCCAAAATAATTCGAAAAGTTAAAATTCCTGAGAGATATTTCCCAAAGAGCAAGGTTAGGCCAATGTAAACCTCACTTTACCGTAAAGCTGCCCGTAGTCTTGACGAGTTTATTCAATAAAAGAAACATAAATTGGCCATGACCTTTGGCTGGTTTGGATGGTTGAATTAAATTGGTAAGTTGTGTGAACTGTGATGCAATTGAATGTAACAACTGTGACACGAGTCCTATGATTGAAAGTGATAGTTTCATGCGTACATGAGATGCATAAAAAAGCGGTAGGCATCTCTAAGCAGTCTTTGTGTGGTAAAGTTGTTGGTAACTAAAAAGTATGTTTGTGAACGACTCTGATGTAAGAGTTTTAGGGAAATGAATTAGATACTGAAGTAACTTCAATACATGCGAACAATCCCTGGTAAAAATTGGCGATAAGAGCTGCGTTTCAAAATACCATAGGAGTTCTTATAGCCGGCTAAAGAAGGCTACAGAAAATCATAAAGCTGGCTGTAGAATGCGGAGAAAACCATACGGCCGGGCCATACGAAGCGATAAAAAATTATGCAGCCGGGCTATAGTTCCTATCGCCGGGCTTTACACTTTTTCGCCTGGCTGTTGCTTTTTCGCCATCGATTATAAAAGGCTGTAAGAAATTGTGTAGAAATTTCTGTGCTTTGGAAATCATTAAGTTTGATACAGAACCACCTTAATATTTACAAAACACACATTATATTTTCCTTTAATACATATTTTTTTTTCATCAATTAAAATGAGAATAATCCATACAGGGTGTGCAAACATTTCAAAATCATGAGTTGAATAACGCTGACTCCGCCAGATTAAACATTAGAGCCTAACACAAAGCGGAGCGGCGACGCACTGGCGCCTACAAACCTAACAGGGATACTTCACGCATTGCGCAACGCGTGAAGTATCCCTGTTAGGTTTGTAGGCGCCAATGCGTGTTTTGCGCTGGCTGCCCGCCTGCCCCGGCGCTTGAAGCAACTATTTCACACCAGAGGTTTTGCACAGTATCATACGAAACTGAAGGCGCTCTAATATATTAGTAATGGCATAGGCATCCATCAAAAGTACGGAGCTTTCCTGGCAAAATAAATCAAGATACTACGGCCCAAAAAGAGAGCAGTATTCCAAGAACTCACCAAGTCCTAGCATCTGTAATTAGTAACGTTTAGCATACACTTTATCGCCTGGCTGTTGCTTAATCGCCATCGGCTATAAAAGGCTATAGGAAATTGTGTTGCCGGCTATGTTGTTAGCTTCTATAAGCTTACGGCCGGCTATAGGTCTATGGTATTTTGGAACATAGATTCTACTGCCAATTTTTACCAGGGATCCGAAAATCTCGCAAATGAAAATTACTGAAAGCAAACATGCAAACTTTCTCAGGGTGTTGAAGTTTTAATTAAAATCATTTGACCTGGTAACTATACAAATGCCGACGGCTAAAGTTTCAGTATACACAAAACTACCACACCTCGTATCTCCGTCGCGGTATCTAAAAAAAATCAGCTTTCATTTTATTTTTTTGAAGGAGAACGAATCAATATCATTCTTTGCAATTTTTATAGAGGAGAACGATCACATTCAGAATTAACATTGAGTAGTTTTCCATTTAAAAAATACAGTATGGGAGGAAGTTTGCAAAGTCGCAAACGGATGATCCAGGGTCTGGTAATTCCACCGCCGTAATTTCGATTTGAACGTCTCTGTTACAGACATTGGGACAATCTATAATACCTGAGAGCCTTTTCAAAAATAATGCGACAGGTTTTTGCGCAAGCGAAGAAAGAAAACTAACAACACTCACTAATTTAAAAAAACAAAAACATTGTGTAGCTTATATTTGGTCAAAGATCACTCAAGATATGACGCCTGGTCATTTGTTGAGGGACATCCTCACTTATTTCAGACAAAGTTTTCCTCGAGGAAAGAATCAACCTCGAGATAAAAATTCCATATCATTTATCACTCCAATAACATATCATACCTGAAAAGCAAACTTTTGATAGTTTTACTCAGTATCATGAACCGTCCAAAACTCGCCAATAATACCGTCTGCTTTTAACAACATGCGACGTTTAGGAGACATGGCTGTTGCATGTTGCATCAAGCGAATGATCGGGCGCACGTGGCAAGCTGCACTGACACAGTGGTGATTCTTATTAGTTGGTAACACCATTCTTTCTCAATTTAAAACCAAATTATAAAAATCGATTCTAGGTGAGGTGTCCTCCCTCGCCAAGACTTGATTGATTTATCCACATCTAAATGGAGCAATAACAGTTGCTAACTCACTGACTGAAGGTATCATGGAAAAAAAGCACTGTAAATTCTCCCACATGTAGTCTTGACATCGCACCGTTCGACTTCCAGCTTCTGACAAAACTTAAAAAGTCTAAGAAATAAGAGATCCCCCTTCCCCCATGTAATATTCAGGCGGTCCTTGTCGGCAAATTTGTTATACGCACGAAAATTGTTGTTAGAATGACGTTAACTTAGTCAAATTTTTTAATGGTGTGCCTTTCGGTCGCATGAAGGCTGCATGAGTTTCAGTTTGGATCTAACTGCATTTCAATAAACCGTCATTAATGTAAGTGCTCCTCTCACGATTTTTTCACTTAACCTGTTTTTTTTTTTTACTTCTCGCTCGACAAGGAGAAAAGGGGGAAGAAAAAAGTAGATAGAAGAATAAGAAATAAGGAAGAAAGAGAGAGGAGTTTGGAAAAGAGGAATAAGAGAAGAAGAAAGAGAAGATGAAGAATGGATGAAAAAGAAGGTACGAGAATGCAGAGGAAGACAAAGGAAAGAAAAAGAAGGAAACCAATCAGAAATATAGGGAAGAAAGAGATATAGAGGAAGAAATAATGTGGCATCATCTCGAATTTGCATGCGTACTTGAAATACAGACAGAAAATAGCTTTTTATAAAAACCGGAAAAGATTTCATTAAAGTCATGTCAGTTCGCCTTCAATATCAGTGCAAGCAACACGAGCTACCTTGTGGTCGAATAGTGGTATCGTCGTGAAATTGCGCGCTCCCCCCGAATACACTGAAAAATAAGTTTTTATAAAATCGTTTGGGGTACTTTCAATGCCGCAGCAGTTCGCCTTCAATACTTAGAGTAGGCAACACGAGCTCCCACGTGGTCGAATAGTGGTATCACCCCCATAGTCACACGGCCTCTATAGGGGAATTTTACGTAGACACGATGTGTAACTTTAGTTAAAATCGCGTCAACCAATTCAAGTGTTTTAATGGTGTGCCTTGTAGTCGTAGAAAAGGTTCATTTTCTCAATTAATGAAGGAATCATTTATTTACGTTATAATTTATGGTGAAGCATCTAGATCCGTGACTTCAGTCACAGTTTTTCGCTAGTTTCATACCTTAAGGGAATGAAGGCGGGGGTACGGTACATGCTAACGTTCCCAAGACGCTCTCGAAAGGAGATAGTATTCTTGAAAAAAAGATGAAAAAATACGCCGATGAGTGAAGAATGAGTATTGGCAATTTAATAAATAAATAAATAATAATAAAAAAAAAAAAAAAAAAAAAAAAAAAAAAAAAAAAACACTTGAATTAAGGGACGTAGGTATGCAAGTTCTCTTCATACTCGTGGGTATCATTTTTATTTAAAAACCTGCTTGTGAAGCTCTGTTCACAAAAATTTAGTTTCGAGTCTGCGTTTGATCTCAATCCAATTTAAGGTTGCTTTCTTAATCCTCAGAAAATGTCTGAAAATAAATGAGATACAAACCCCCATTACCCTTACAAACTATCTTCAAAACTTGATAGCTTGCATAATTTTTCATTAAGAAGTTCCACCATAACTTACTATAAAGCTAGTGAAAATTGAAACCTGCACACTTACACGAAAACCATTCGCATTAATTTTAGAAAAACATATCGACGGTGAAACTACCAAACCGCACCTATATCTCGTTATACATCGTAAACGAGATAGGTGGTTAGGTACACCGAAAAAAAAGCCGTTGCAGTAATACCACAGATGTTAAAAAAATGTGCGACAACTCTTGGATGTTGTCATTAACACCAGTATTAATGACATCATCCAAAAGTTGTTGCAAATTTCTCGAACATCTTTTTTTTTTTCGGTGATAAGAACCTCCACTCCCATATTTATTTTGTTAAATGAGAACAAATTAACATAATTCTTTGAAGTTTTTTCCAGAATTTTCCTGGCACAGAGAAGAAAAATCACCGATTTTTTTATAAATGGATGTTCAGAGGTTCTCCATTAAAAAAATTAAGTAGGTATGAAAGGGAGCCTGCAACGTCACACGGATAAAAAAGTGTCAGGGGTTATCCCCTGAAATTGTGGCACTATCCCAATTTGTTGGATGATATGGACATTTCCAATTAATTTTGGTAGCATCGCAACTCAAGTTGGGGTAGTACCGCAAAATTTAGGTTAGTAACCCAATTTATTGGGAAAGTATCACAATTAATTGGGGTAAAATTTTGGGTAATACCACAATTAATTGGAAATGTCCATATCATCCAACAGTTGGGACATAACCCAGCCCCACCTCTTTTTTTCCGTGCGCAAACCGATATTCTTGGTTCGGTACTTTTACTTACCATCATGCAGTTCATTGACCTGTATGAACCACCAACATTTTATATCTGTTGTCTGCACGTCAAATGCAAGTGAAAAAATAATTGTCATAGGTATATCAATTGAATTAAAATAAAATAAAAGAATACAATTCAAACTCAGAACTTAAGCCATGAACGCATAGCTCCAAGAAACAATTAATTTTTTAACTAAATGTCTACAACATTGGGTCGAAAACCAAGCTTCTAAACGAACGATCAGTCATCAAAATTATACACGCATTAAATAGAATCTGGTTTTTGAGCTACCTGCGCAGGTGGCATTTAGGAGGAAGAAGACAGGATGCGATTATAATTTTCTTCAACCACTCAAGGAATCCGGCCGTGAAATCCTCCAACCAGATTTTAGACCCGCCACGAAACAAAATACGATCTGCCGAGAGATTATATTTATTGTCTTGGCGGATTTTCCCATATGGATGATGAGAGTCTAAATATAAGTACATATCCCAACTTCAGGTTATCAGTAAAATGACTTTTCCAAAACTTGTCCCGCTAGGTTATCTCCTACGTATTATTTTACTCTTGCTAAATCGATAATTGATTGAAACATCGGAGACGCAAAACTCATTAGGACGTCTTGATTTTTTCCCTCAAAACTACCTCACGCATTACCTGACAAAACATGGGATCCCTTAAATATAGCCAGAGCCTTGGTTGGGCTAGAGATGAGAGAGGGAATTAATGAAATTTATTTTTTACAGTAAGTATAATAATCGAATATCTTATAGTAAGAGAGCATTTAATTATTGACTCTTGTCTTTTGTGAGAAGTTATTGTACTGACGATAAATTGTATTATTTTTGAAAATTCCAAAAGGATGAATGCCTCTCGGTCACCTTTGTACTTACGGATTAATTTAAAACGTGATATCTTAGGAAGAGTTGGGACAGCTGATCACAAATTTGACGCAATTTTTCAAAGGACCCAATCTTTCGATCGGTGGCCATTCAAGTCGGTGGCGTTAAGATATCTTAAAGCCGGTTTCCTTCCAAAAAACTGTCGTTGACTCAGAAATAATTGAGAATTCTGATCAAATAGCACGGTCAGCATGGAAAAAAACAGTTTTATGGAGATTATCCCCTACTTTTGTGCGGTGCTCCTCCGATATGTTGGATGGCATAGACATTTCCAACAACACAGCATGGACAACTGGACAGAGTTAAACAGAAAGGAACCAAGCCACATCGGGATCGAACCTAGAGAAAGAGGTTTAAAGTTTGGCTCCTGCATAAGACTCAATGTAAAAGATAAACTTCAAGTTCAATTTCTGCAAAATTTGCACCAACAAAAATTTTGAATTTTTGGCGATAGATAGTAGAGCAGTGGTTGAGTTCAAAACCACTCATAACTCAATTTTTTCCAAAATGTGGGTTGGTTCCTTTCTGCTTAACTCAGTCCAACTGCACCGCGACTTAAGCGGGAGTAGCTCTGCAACATTTAGGTTAGTAACAGGTTGAGAAAATCATCGAAACTTCGTGATGAAAGTTTTTCTTTGGTCCAGGATAATAAAGTAGGGTCCGTGCCCGCCTTCTCGGTACAAGCAGGGTCTTGAGGCAAGTGTGTACCCAAAAACGGTTTACTGGGGTGAGTCTATTGTACGTGTGGGCTCAAAATCACGAAAAATCATAATCTTGCTGATTTCGAAGTATCGCAATTCGAAATTTTCATGGGAAATGCAAGTTTTCTACTGATTTTGATCCGCTTTTTTATTTACTTGTCCATTGAAACGATGTTGATCGGTTCAAGTTTTTACTTTTAGTTCGATTCATGTTGGATATATAATCTCTCGTTACATGTAGACTACCTATCATACTCTTTTTTTTTTTTAACTGAACAATTCACCTTCTGCTGCGTCTGCAGTAATTGTTGTTACGAATATGTTGTGCGTGCCGATTTCAGCTCATTACATACTTGACTCTGTGAGACCGTTCTGTGTGCAAGAGCAATGCGCCTTCTGCTGCGTCTGAGGCAACTGTTGTTACGAATATGTTGTGCGTGCCGATTTCAGCTCATTTGCTCATTACATACTTGACTCTGTGAGACCGTTCTGTGTGCGAGAGCAATGCGCTTTCTGCTGCGTCTGAGGCAATTGTTGTTACGAATATGTGTGCTGATTTTAGCTCATTACATACTCGATTCTCTGAAGGCATTTTATGTATGCAAGTAGCGCAATTTGTCCGAGAACGAACGAAGTAGGGATCGAACGATTTATTCAATCTCACCTCTGTTGTTCTCCAACAAGGTGCTCTACTTTCGCACATTAAACGCCTTCAAAGGGTCTATTATGTATGTCGCAGGCAGTCAGCAATCGCCGGCAATTTGCAAGCTCCGTGCTTGTCAATTCGTCAAATGGCAATTACAATAACATCGATGTAGTAAAGGTTTCTTTAGCGAAGAAATTCAAGGCACGACCTCAGCTTGGAACGCCTTCAAATCCAGGGATACTCTCCGTTTTGCCGCGGAGTTAGTTTAGTTGCTTAACCAAACCATAAACCAAACCCAACGTAGATTATTCATTACATTTCACAAACTCACGAGTGTGTTAGCTGGTACCATGCATTCAAGAAGAAGGGGGTAACGTATGTTTGAATTCAAAGCATAATGATCACTACTTACTTCCTATCTCGTTTTTTCACTTCAATTTTTTTTTTAATTTGTTGATTCAACACAAATAGATTGCAATTTGCCGGCGATTGCTAATTGCCTGCGACATGTATACCTCCCGCATAGACTGAAAATTTGTAGCGCGATGTATTTTATTTTACATTTAAACATAGTTTACGTTGAAAAGTTTTTCGGGAATCCTCCATAATAAGACCGCAAAATACAACTCTCTATTGGTAACATTATTAATTAAAGAGCTAAAATGTTTTTCAACGTGTATTATACGGATGTTTTCAATTCGCCTTGTCAGCAGCAATTGTTGTTAAGAATATGCTATGCTTGCCGATCTCAGCTCATTACATACTTGAATCTCTGAAGGTGTTTAATGTGTGCGAAAAGTAGAGCACCCTGTTGTAGAACAACAGAAGCAACAATTGCTACAGACGCAGCTGAAGGCTGAAGGCGAATTGCTTTCGCACACAGAACGCTCTCACAGAGTCAAGTGTAATGAACTGAAATCCGCACGCACAACATATTCGTGACAACAATTGCCTCAGATGCAGCAGAAGGTAAATTGTTCAATTAAAAAAAAGATTTTGATAGGTAGTCTGTATGCAACGAGAGGTTGGGTGCTTAATCAAAATGAATCGAACAAAAAATAAAAACGTGAATCGATCAACACCGATTCAATTGACAAATAAATAAGATAGCGGATCAAAATCAGTAGAAAACTTGCATTTACCATGAAAATTTTGAATTGCGATATTTCGAAATTAGAATCAGCCAAGAATATGATTTTTCGTGATTTTAAGTCCATACGTTGAAGAAACTCACCCCTTGACAACAGTTTTTGGTACATTTTTGTCGCATTTTGCTTTTCTTCAAGACCACTATTTTTGGGGGGGGGGGGGGGGGGAGGTCGTCCCTCAACCTTTATTTTTGGGGTAGCGGGGGCCGCAAAAGATCTTAGCCTAGTTGACATAGAAGCACCACCGAAGTTTCATCTCTATAGCTAAATTAAAGAAAAATTACCGGAAAGGCACATGCAAATCACTCAATCTTGTGTTAGCTTCACAAATATACGAGAAAAACAATGAGGCTAAGGGTGAATGAAAAATTAAAATTGGCGATCGCTCTATAATCTAAAATTTCTCCCATTGTAGGGTGGGGGTGGAAAGAAGATCTACTAAAACAACCCATAGATCGCAGCACTAATCCCAGACGGGCTGAAATGCCCGCAACTAATAGAAATGACGCACCAATTTTTGAAATGGACTTTTTTCAAGGGTTCGCTTTATACGTTGGGTTTGAAGAATTATACTTGCGTGCGTTCTTAAGTGTTAATTGTGGTGATTTAACGAAAAAGTACAAATTTACACTTTTCAAACCTATTTTTTGATCCTAACCCACAATGCGCACCCTTGAAAAAAGTCCGTCATTTCAAATAATAGCGCGTCATTTTAAATATTGGAGGGCTTTTAACCTCGCTCCAGATTAGTGCTGCGATCTATGGGATAATTTATCAACATCGCTTCCGTAGCTTTCTTCAAAAAGTGTCAACTAATCGTCCTGCACAATGGAAGAAGTTTTAGATAGAACAATTGTAAGTTTTAATTATTTTATTCACCCGCAGTATTATTGCCTTTTCCGTAAATTTTAAAACTCACACTGCCTGCCTTCTCGTGAACCTAAAGCATCTTGTGCGTGTTATCAATTGTTCTGAAAAGACAACATAACCTCAAAATTGCTATCCTTAACAATTTCTTTTCTTATTTTATTAATATGCTTCTCATTTGTTCTCAGGAGGATTTCTCAGACCCTAAGAACTTGTTCACAGCCTCTGCAGGAGTTGAAGAAAATGATAGTCTTGATCTATACAGAAAGTACAAGGTATGTTCATATGATCCGTCACTGTCACGGCCATCATGATGAGGGAACTTTACAGTATTATTTTTTGCTTCAGGACCATTTATTTCATTAATTTTTAGTATTGAGATGTCCCTCTACTGTATTCCTGCATGTTTTCTATCTATGAATTGTTAACTCATACGCCAAGTCTTTGCGACACATGAGTGCCGATTTGCAACCTGCCGTTTGGACCAATACCTAACACAGGCCAGTTGGGTAAAATATTCACTCTGAGCTTAGACTATACCTAATTGGAGGTACACCAGGAATATGGAGACTCTTTCATAGAGTGCCGTTGCAGAACTTTCGAAATTGATGCTGGTTGATGCTGATCTTCATCAGGTCATTTCTTAACCCTACTTTTTGCAGGATTACAAGTTTTTTTGGCTCTAAAGTGTCCAAGGATTCCACCTTCTACCTGTCTGGTGATGTTGTTGGGAAAAATTATGATCGTGTCAATACAAAATATGAAACTGCTTGATCCATCCATTTTGGTTTGACCGATCATCAACGGAAATACGCTCTTTTAATACAGGAAAGACAGTCAAAAATATTTTTGAATACTGTGATTTCTTCAGGCTTGATTGTAAAATACTCTCTTTTTGGTTCTGTTTCTTGGTTACCTAAATAACTTTTTACTGTATCCAGTCATGATTATTTTGCTATTGGTACTGACGGAATTTTGAAATTCATCCAGATCAGTTATGGTTGCTTGCATGTATTTCAAACCATCCTACTCGTTGGTCAGAACATACTTCCCAGAACCAATGATATGTCAGTAATTGATGTACCAGAGAACGAAAATGTATGAAATAAAAATAGCTTTTACCATCTGTTCTTCGTCTGCATCATTAGAATTTGGGATGGAAGGTGGAGTCAGTGAGAGTGGTAATCTGTTGTTTAAGGGTTGATCAGCTCTGACCAGCTCAGTTTGTTTGAAAAATATTGGTACTTACGTACATTTGAACCATAAAGAATTGGGTTGAACTTGTCGTTGACTCCAAACATACTGATGGTAACATTTCAGAAATACATACCTTGACGTGTAACTGTGCAAGAATCCTGACATATCTTTCTATTTCTCCTGTTTGAAGTTCGTTACACCTACTTACCTTTTTATATTTTTTTCTCTTCCCTATACGCAGCATTTACGTGTCGTATTTGAAAATTATTTTAACTTGTCTGTATTTTTGTCTGAAGTGCTAGCTCAGTATCTAATTTATCAAACCCCATACCATAATGTGTCTAGCTCACTATCCATCATTATCACCATTGTTGAACTTCGAAACGATAAGTTATTTTCCTGATTTCTTTCAGAAACTTCAAAGGCAGTTGGAATTTCTGGCTGTCCAGGAAGAATATATTAAAGATGAGCAAAGGAATTTGAAGAAGGAATATTTACATGCCAAAGAAGAAGTCAAGAGGATACAAAGTGTTCCCTTGGTTATTGGCCAATTTTTAGAGGCGGTTGATCAGAACACCGGTATTGTAGGAAGTACAACAGGTGAGTCTCTCATTTTTTAAGTTCTCTCAGTACCCAAAAGAAATTCTTAGAAAGATATTAAAAATTCAAAGTCCACATGTTTTTACAGCAAAACATCTATTGTTACACTAGCCTATTATTTTTGTTGAACAGCTGAATGTATCTATATTATACAGCTACAAGCAAAATCTTGGAAGCACTATTTCTGACGAAATGCCGGACCGATAAGGATGATCTTTACATGTATGTCATCTGTAGTAGACGTAGATGTGCAAAAAATTATGAAACCCCGAACTTTTAATGTTGTAGAGCTTTTAAAGCTCATGTCACTTAAGTCCAATGTTAATAGCGTGAGAGATATGTCGTTTCCGCTAGAAACGTCAAGGTGTGGGATTCTACCTGAGTGACTCGAATAAACAATAAAACAATGGAAAAGCTCGTGAAGGGCTCCTCATTCGAAGAGTTGAGGAACGGTGCATCGCTCAGGGTTCAAGGTCCAAGGTATAAGGTTTAACTCAATTTTTCCTGCATTCTTCCGGCTTCGATTTGTGGCATTGGTCAATTTACTTGATTGCTGAATTTCTATTAATATTTAGAGCAGATAAACAGCAGATACAAAGTGAGAAGGCAGGCGTCGCGTCGGGACGGACCAAATATTATTAACTCTTAACGGTCGAAATCCGATTTTTTTTTTTAATTAAGTATTTAAAAATAACATAATTAACGGAAATTTCTTCAGTAAGTGGACTGTGAAATTATGTATGTACACCCAGCTATTCCTCATCATTTACAAATCTGAGTGTTACGTCAAAAATTTTAAAATCGATGCAGCTCGAACACAAAATGGTGTATTAAAATGGAAGAACATTTTTGCCTATACATATGCGTATAGGGCCCGCAAGGCACCCTCCTGGGGGTTGGGCCGCGTAGCGGTCAAGGGGCAGGGCCCCCTAGTAGACAATGTAGACATTAGTAAGGTTTCATTCAAATTTATGAATCCTCACAGCAAACCATTGTGGTTCATGAAAGGACTTTAACTAAGAAAAACGTCTAGTTTTTTTTATGAAGGCACAGATTTTTTGTCTTTTTGTCCTCATTCAAAATAGCTATCATCTTATATACTTAAGTAAAATTTTGACTTTACCCAGGAAATTAGTACGAAACATAGGAGGTACTCTGAACAAGGCTAAATCTGGTTCATGAAAATTTTGCAGAGCAAGTTCCATCAATGTCCTCTAATTAATAATTATTATCAATTCAAAAATTTAGAATTCTTATTTTCCTTTCAGGTTCAAATTACTATGTTCGTATTTTATCAACAATCGATCGTGAGCTGCTAAAACCCTCTGCCAGTGTAGCGCTTCACAAGCACAGTAATGCTTTAGTTGATATCCTACCCCCAGAGGCTGACTCTTCTATATCTATGCTTCAAGCAAGTAAGTAATGTGTTTGTTTCCCCTAATTTTTACTATTGGTGTTAATTTTTTTGATAAGAACAAAAAACATTCTTAAATTTTTCATTGTCCCATTTCTGTTAAAAGTCTAAAAGTCATACTCGTCTAAATTAAGTGCATTCATTCAAATCTCAGTCATTCAAAATGCATCCATATCAAATGACTCATATAGCTCATGAATATAGGCGTGTGTGTGTAGGTATCTGGAAATTCATTTTCCTCTTTTATTTTTCATGTTGTTTTAAAACTCCACTATCTGCTCAATTCAAAGATTTTTCAATCGCAGCATGAAAATTTGTCTCTTTAATTGGAAAGTAAAAAAAAAAATTAATTGATACTTGTATCTTATTTACATGTTGTATAACATAACATCTCTCATATCATTCATCAATCACTTGCCAATTTTGGAATTATGTACCTTTTCTTGAAGTAGTTGTAGGGAAAAAAGTTCTTACCTTCTTATTTTCCTTCAGTATGTTTTTCTTGTCCCTTTCAGTGGGTGATTCGTTTTCTCATATCTGATTTCTTCTTTTTTACTTTTAGATGAGAAACCAGATGTTCAGTATGCTGATATCGGAGGCATGGATATGCAAAAGCAAGAAATTCGTGAGGCTGTAGAGCTGCCTCTCACTCACTTTGAACTTTACAAACAAATTGGTATCGATCCACCTCGTGGTGTTCTCATGTATGGACCGCCTGGCTGTGGGAAAACTATGTTAGCTAAAGCTGTTGCGCATCACACAACAGGTACTTAACTAACTATCAATATCTTTATCTTATTGGCTAGACTTTTAGGTACTGGTGTCTGATAGCATACTTAATTTAGAGAAAGTATCATGTGCTAGTAACTGACAGTGAGTACCAGACAAAAATATTATAAATCTATCTGTCCACATGTTATAAGCTCACAACTCCTTCACAGAAACATATTTTGTGGTTCTAGTGTAAACTGCTGGGTGATTTGTAGCTTTAATTTGAAAATGAGTATAACTGAGAATTAGAGACTTTCCAAGTGCCGCTGCTTGACATCATGCCAGTTCTTGGGCTATATTTGCACTTAAGCATTGCCTTAAGCATTGCATTAGCATTTGCCTTTGCTTTGTTTGGCGTTGCTTTAAGAGGGTACTAAAAAATCCTCTTAAATTATTCAGTAAATAGGGCAACGTAAATCATCTACATTGTCACTTATTTTCTTTTACCTTATTTCTTTATTGATTTTCTCAGTTTTTACCCAAGAACAACCAAAATTTATTTTCTGTACAGAACAAGACTTGTGCAACATGTTTCTCTGTGATTTCATGGTATTAATACGGCCTCCTATGGTGTAGTGGTTGTAGCGCCAGCTCTATGATCGGGAGGTCCCGAGTTCGATTCCCGGCCAGGCGACCCGAGTTTGATCATCTCAAACAATGGTTGCGTGGGACTGGTTGTAGGTAAGGAGGGGGAAGGGGCTAAAGCGCAAGGATTAGCCCTCATGGGCTATTTGAAGTGGTAAAAAAAAAAAAAAAATAGATGACAGCAAATCCTGCCAAAGCAACCATCTTATGAATGTCTAGTCAAGTAATACAGATTACATATAGTCATACAAGAGACTTCCCAAAGCACTTTTCCTTAATAGTGGAAGTACTTCATTAAAGTATAAGATATATACTCAGTAGTCTGAGACCCTTTCCTATCATACATGTTTCGGACCAGGTAGATGGCCATCATCCAGGACTTGACTCCGCATCCTGGAGAATGACTAGCTACATAGGCTATGACAGTCAGATAGGAAAAGAGAGTATGCCTCGGACTAGTGTGTGTATGTTTTGCAATTTAGTGATTGGAACCTTATCTGGTAATTCATTGTTGTCCATTCAGTATCTGTCGTTGTACTTAATAGTCTTCAATGAGAAAAAGAGATTTTCTGAAAATCTTGCAAGGAGAATGTTTTCATTTGTTAAATTTTTCTATTTCTGATTCTCCTTTTGATTTTCCAAAACAATGGAAACAAATATTTCAGAAAAGTACAACTTTTAATAAGAACACTGAGGATTCTAAAATGAACCATTAGAACTATGCCTGTGTCTAATGCCTGTCGTTTAAAATTGAGTAAATATTTTTTCTGGAGTCTGTGGATGCCCTATATTGTCTAAGAAAAACAAATTTCCGTAAAATATCATGCTCTAAGCCAATTTTTTTGTCCGTCTCATGAGTTTTTTATGATTCTCTTTTATTTTACAGCTGCATTTATTAGAGTAGTAGGTTCAGAATTTGTGCAAAAGTATCTAGGAGAAGGTCCCAGGATGGTACGAGATGTCTTTCGTCTAGCAAAGGAGAATGCTCCAGCAATTATCTTCATTGATGAGATTGATGCTATTGCAACCAAGCGATTTGATGCTCAAACTGGTGCTGACAGAGAGGTCCAGCGTATTTTACTAGAATTGTTGAATCAAATGGATGGATTTGATCAGGCAACTAATGTAAAGGTACGTAAAACTCTTCCTCTTCGCCACATTTTACAATTTTTCCTCTTAAATCTACCTAAACCTAAAATTGAAACATTGCAATAGGAACAATGCCTGTAAATCCTTTGCAAACAGGCTTAATTTTAAATTTTGAGTCATAACTTTTGAGAGGGGAATTTTTTGTTTTGTTTTGCTTCATTATGCAGCAAAACTAGGGCTGTGCAAATACTTGGAAATCTTGAATATTGGAGTTTGAATAATTTTTCCGTTTTTCGATTCGAACTTAAACTTAGAAACCTCAAATAATTGAATTATTCGACCACATTGACAAAATTTCGAATCTTAAACAAAAAGGTCAAAAATAGGTAAAAACTAAAAATATACAAATCGAATTCGAAACTCTTTCTAAATATTCGATTTGATTCAACATCAAAAGAACCATGTTCGCACAGCCCTAAGCAAAACCCAAATATTCCTTCCTAGGTACATCCTATTTATATGATGGATAGGAGGATAGACCTTAATATATCTAAATACATTTTTCAAAAAAGAGGAAGACACATACCATGAAAATAATTGTGAGTAGGTATTGTGTATCTAATGGCAGATGGCGTATAATAAATATGGAAGTATCCAATGGTAAAGGGGCCATAGGAGGCAGAGGCCTCAGGACATAAAAAAGGAAAAACTAGTCAAGAAGGAAGATTTAAATGATAAGAGGAAAAAATTTTAGGTGAAAAGTTTTTTTTGATTTAAATAGGAAAAATCCGTTTCTAGGTCACACCTAATTGAAAACTTGAAAACCCTTTTTAATATTCTATAAAATATATGTGTCATTCAGTTTATTCATTTTAGTGCCAATAGAGAATGTGAAACTGCATTTTAGCCCATTTTTGTGCATATTAAAGGCTCAAACTTGCTTTGTTATCTGTGAATTTTGTACTCTGCACATGTAAGAGCAGAATTTTAAGAGAGTTTTTGCCAGAGACTATGTTGTTTGAACTACCAACCACTATGGTTCTGGTTCAGTTTGACAAGTCAGGTGTTCTCTTGCCCAAAATGTTTTTAAAACGTTCTTCTGTGCTCTAGTATTAGTGACTAAACATTGAAATCTTGTGAACTAAGGTCTCTTGCCTGTTGATGGCTCCAACACTGAGATAAAACTGCTCAAAAGTCATTCTGCTTTCAACCGTAAGGTGCATCTACATGTTTTTTTTTTTTTCTTTCTGAAGCTTTTCTACTGAATTTTACAGGTCATCATGGCAACCAATCGAGCTGACACATTAGATCCTGCTTTATTGCGTCCTGGTAGATTAGATCGTAAGATCGAATTTCCACTCCCTGATCGTAGGCAAAAGCGACTTGTTTTCTCCACAATCACAGCAAAAATGAACTTGAGCGATGAAGTTGATCTAGAAGATTATGTAGCCAGGTCGGATAAAATTTCAGGAGCTGATATCAATGCCATTTGCCAAGAGGTAAGAGTCCATCAGCTTTCTTATTGCTTTTCTCACTATGCGTGAGGAAGGAAATCGTTCTATTGGTTTGTGAGTTTAATTTTCTCACTTACCTAAAGAAATTTAGTTCAAACCGAATTTTCTGAAAAGGAATTTATCTCTGAGGAAGCTTTGAAAAATCAAAGAAAAGCACACCATAGAACTTCAGTAGTCTTTTTTATGCTCTGTTTAAGTTGAATATATCAAAAATATTCAATGAAAGCACCTGACTGCCTACGGCAGTTAGGCTTTAAGTGCTAATTGAAGCTGGATCGTGCTGGAACAGTTTGAGAGGCTGCCGAAGTGGAGCCACCTGCCCAAAAGCATATTCGGCCTCTTGAAACGCAACTTGTGGGAATTTATTCTGCTGCTCTTATGACGTTTTCAGGGAAGAGAAACAAATTTTTTCATAGAATCTGTGAAAAAAAAAAGATGCTCGATCTACAACAGCAGCTTTATGATTTCCCCTTGTGGGACGTTTTGTAAGAAACGCGAATAACTTTTGTCAGTCTATATGAACCTTAAAGATTACCAATTATTGTTGACTGAGGGATGGTACACATTTTTGTCATTATTCTTTTACTTAATTCCGTGTTAGGAAAGAGCATTAAATTTCATCAACGTGTGAGGGAGTTTGACCAAAAACTGTAGTTTTTCATCTCATTTGACATAATTTCATTTTAATGAGCTATTTTGTGGTTAGAACAATTTCATTTTTTGGTCTCTGACTTGGCCAGAGACAAGAGACTCTCCACTGGCCTCTTGGCGACAGGTTGAAAGTTTTACTTTTGGGAATTCAACATTCCCTCTTGGACAATTGTAAGAGAGCAACAGTTATCACACCTACTAGATAGATGATTAGCTTCGGGTAACATAATGAGCCAAACAAGTTTGCCAAACCGCGGTATGTTTGCGGAACAAAATACCCAACATATTGTTCAACATCCATCCAGTAAGTCTCATAGTTGAATGTTGGAGCCCCGAAAGTAAAATCTTCCACCATTGCCAACACAACAATGGAAAGTTTTAAGTCTCTGAGCTTGGCTTCCCGCGTATTCAGGTAAAATATTTGTTTTAAAGACTTATTGAGAAGCGATCCCCTTTAGAAGAGATTTTTTTTAGCGAGCATTCTCAGCACTTATGCGCTCTTAGAGTTATATTTTCTTTGTTAGAGGAAAATGTTTCTGCTTCATACTGACCCTCGGAAATGGTCGATTTTCTCGGTTTCTTCAATTTTAATTTTTTTTTATTTCCCTTAATCCTATGAAGCTGTGTCTATTATTGTATTTTATTTAAGGGGGTACTTCGGTCTAGAAAAATTTTTTTCCCCTCAAGTCCTATCGACTTGAAACTTTTGCTGTGGGTAGGTACATATAAAACTAAGTTTTCCCCAAATTTTCGTTAAGCGTGTTGCATACCCTGCCTCTTGATAGACGGTTAAGTGATTTTGAAGAGGCATCTTGTGGCAACCATTTCTCGGACTGAGAGTGAGCTAGAGACCTGCGATTTGTTTTAAAGTACCAAGAAATGCTCCTTTTATTATCTAACAGAGCCAGATATATCAATTTGTGACTAAAAGTATTTTTTTTTAAAAACATGAATTTTTTCCAATTTTTTTCGGTGTTTGTTAAAATAATAAATTATTAATGAGGAGAATAAAAATGTCGGCTCTGTCGGGTAATAGACCATACATTTCTGGTCATTTTTAAAAAAAAAAACGCAGGTCTTTAGCTCAATTAGGGCCTGAGAAATGGTTGTCAATAGATGAAAAAACATGCGGATAACCGATCTTTCAGGAGAGCGATATCAGTAAATGTAAGTGAAAAAGTGCAGGGTGCAAGTGCATCATTCTGCAAGGGATCATCACTTTTATCGAATTTTTTCGAGTTTTTGGGATCATGATAATTACATGGTGGATACGTCATCATCCTCAGTACTCTCCTTTATAAAATCAGTGAAAAAACGGAAAAACTAAAAAAAAAAAAAAAATTGGGCCAGTTTCAGACCGAAGTACCCCCCTTAAGTTTCCTTTTCTCAATTTTTTTTTCCTAATGTAAAATTTCTATGTTTACAGGCTGGTATGCATGCTGTGAGAGAAAACAGATACATCGTTCTGCCTAAAGATTTCGAGAAAGGTTACAAGAATAATATCAAGAAGGATGAATCAGAGCATGAATTCTATAAATAAGTTACTGATCTTTACTTTAAGCCTGTTTTGTAAATTATTGCTCCCCTACTGACCCAATTTGTTTTTTTTCTCCCTAATTTTGTAGGATTAATGTTCATAGCTTTCAGTTTTTTAATTCTTCCTCATATTGTGTTTTAAGAAAAAATACTGTTTGTACTATTTCTTGTATTTTTGATAAAAACTATAATTTCAAAATGCACATCCTTATCTCTCTCTTAAAGTCAAGTCTCCATTTTCTGAACCAATCCTACTATATAAATTTATTACAACATGGCTTATGCATCATTCAAAAAAATGATATTTGCTGAATTCTTATGAAGAGTAATTTTTAGGCACATAAAACATGCCACACTAAAGGCCACAAAAGCGTCTTCAATATTTTGATCGTTTTGGGGGGACCAGAAGAATTCCTTCAATTTTTGAACATGCGATACTGCATTTTCTCTTGGATCAGACCTTTTTCTTGCAGTATAGACAACGCATGGAATAAATACAACAATATCAAGTATGTGTGTCCATGAATTTGTGTAAAAATGATACTTATTTCAAGAGGAGAGTGAAATAATAAGTCTGAAATAAATTTGAGTACCTATTTTGCAAGTTCAAGGAATTTAATATTTCAAAATTACAAAACCACTTAAATCTAAAATTGATTCTTTAAACCATAGTAACCTAAAAGTGTCTAAATTCCAGAAACTGAAGTTAAAAATTACGCACTGCAATCTTGTTTTGTTCATCCTGCAAAAAATGGTCTATCAAAAAGTTCTTAACTGTACCAAAGTGGACATATTCTGAGTTACTTAATTAACAGTAATCCGTAAAAATTCACAGGGATACTATTTGTAGTTAAAAACTTACGAATAAATCATTCACATATTTGAGTGATGATCAATAATTTCCTAAATCATTGATTCATTCGTGATTTGAGTTTTTCCTTCTCCATCAGTTGGCATTTTTTACCTCTCTCTAATCACTGTTAAGGTCAAAACTTGATGGCTTCAATAATTCTTCATTACCCACTTTTGCTTTGAATATTATTTATGTAGCAAAAAAAGTGCAAAAATTTAAAACAACAGGCTGCACTGTGAACAACCATTACAGTATTTTATCACATGATTGTCAGGCGTTAGCCACAGTTAGACTACTAATGAACTTGCAACCATAACATATATAAGTACTTATATAATTTTTTCTCTATCTTAATTTCAAACATGGCGAGTTTTGGTAGGCCCCTAGACCATTACACTTGAAGTACCTTAGATCTTAATTTGTTTTTTCATTCACTGTATATTTGTGATTTTTTCAAAAACACATAACTCGAATTGCACTGTTCAAAACCTTCTAGCTGATTTTATTTTATAGAAAAATGAAAAAGAAAATAATGATAAAATTTCCTCCTGAATTTTTTTTCTTGATTTTCTTCTCCGTTTATAGAAATTTTGGTGAAAATGATAGACACAAATTTTGATTGTTTTTCTCTAGAAAAATTTAATTGATCAGTAAAGGAACACTACAATAGAAATATCAAAGGGTAAATCGGGAACCATGTAAATTGGTTTACTACGCTACAGACCTCCTACTATATCTTATTTTTCAAGCAAATTTAATTATTTAATTGATGAATATAAAATAATGAAGAATTAAATGTATTATTTCTTCACAACTGCCATTACTTCTCCCCAATGATTGAAGTTTATTAACCGTAAAAGTACAAAAATTGTAGGTACCTCATCTGCTGTGTATACAAATTTCACTTTCTGTGGCCACTGCTAATATTTTTTTACTCACTTTTCAGAGAATATTCTTCAAACAAGGAGGAAAAATCTCATGAAGTTGTGTTTTAAAATTGATCGGTCGTTCTTCAAAAGTAAAATGTAACAGGAAATCTGCAACATCGCAAATCGAGATAAGTCAAAATTTTTAGAAAATTTCAAATAAGAAAGTTTGCTCATTTCCCCTCAAAAAAATTATCCAGGTGCGGAAACCTCAAAATCCATAACCAAGATCAGTGGTCATTGAGTTCACTCATCCAAGTGCAATTTTTAATGTTTCTCACAGCCTTGTCTACTTTAAATGAAAGCTCCTCTGAATTTGTTTGCCGTGGGTTAATTTTCTGCAATAGTTAAGCATTACCAATTTTTTGATTAATCATATCCAGTGACCAAGTCCCAACGTAACAGAAATGCACAATGATTACAAATTGGCTATTTTTTTATAGTACTTAGACCATCAATTGTTACAGGTGTAATGCAAACCTCTGTATCGTGTAAGTAGCTTAATCGGAACAATTTTTTATGCTAAATAGCTAATTTTATTCCTATTGACTGGTACAGTAAAGGAACCATACTTTCGGAACTTCTGTTTCTTGGGTTCAAGTCATTGTGTCGTCACCAGAGTGGATGGGCGACCAAATCAGTGGTGTCCGTGCCCATGGTGTCCCTTGCCCACGTGAACAACGACAGGGTGGTAGGCGTGGAGTACGACGTTCTGATAAGAGGTAGCGTGTCCATGATGGCTCTCATGTCCATGATGGTTGTACTCAGCTACGACCGGCTCATCTGCCACAGCAACCAGGGGCTGGATGGGGTGGTTCTCCCGCTTTACAGGGATTACTTTCCCGAATAGACTCCCCACCAGACTCACCAGAATGACCAGCTGTAATGAAAATCGTGAGAGGATTTAGAAAAACATGAGAGTAAACAGACCACCAGATGGTATGGTCCATTTGGCAACAAAAATCGGAAATAAGAATTCGAAGGAGAAATTCCCAAACCATGCATCTCTGTGTGAGATACTGTAGGATTCCTGTAATGCCCGATTTTCTGAGGAAAATATTCAATGTCATTCCTCATTGAAAACTTCCGTAATATTTTCCTATTGTGTGAAGAATGTTCTGCCAAATTTTTGGGGTGTACATTTTTTTCCTTCACTAAATAAATAAAATAAATTAGATTTTAAAACATTGCAATCGACTTAAGTAGTTTGGGGACTTCATCTTCAAGTCATGCTAGCTCTACGGCCGGATTTAGGGGGAGGCCCATGTTGGCAAATTTTGCAATTTTTTTTAAATGTAGGTATTAAAAAAACTCGGATTCAGAAAAAAAATTACAAACGAGAAAACGCGATAAAATCTCTCATTTCCTGCGAGTATAGTGATTTCTAATTTTGTCGTCTTTCTGTGAAATATGAGACAGCACCTTTAAATAGTTGCGTTAAAAGAGAAACCAAACACGCACTTCGGCGCGGCGGTCAGCATGGAACATATATCAGCGCCTACAAGACTGCATGAATACTTCACGCAGTGCGTCTATCACAGTGCGGTCAGCAGCAGCGGTTGGTGTGAAACGCATGGCGCCTACGAGACTACATGAATACATCACGCATTGCGTCAAACACAGATGCGTTCAGCAGCGGTCGGCGTGAAACGCACAGCGCCTACAAGACTGTAGGTAGGAATACTTCACGCATTCCGCCAAACACAGTGCGGTCAGTGCGGCGCGGTGGTAGAGGTAACAACTATTAAACCACATTTATGTTTGTTCTTTCATAATTTGTTCGTTCATTTATTATAAATGGAAGACCTTGTCCACGCAGAGATATGGGTTTACAGAACTTAACTCCCGTGCAAAGTTCCGTGAATTCTCGCTAGTAATGTTGACAGGGCTTTTGCAAAAAAATGTGACCAACACGAGTAAACGCGTCTAATGCACCCCTGCCCTCCGGCACGTTCACTTAATGGTTTTTATCGATTTTTCAAAACGAATGAGAAGGGGGCGGCAAAATACAGGCGGCCCATGGGCGGCAAGTAGATTAATCCGGCCCCGGCCATCTCTGAATAAAATTTCAATGATCAGCCGTAAATTAGAATGAATATTGAAAATATATCTCCCTCAAACTCGTCTACCTACAAATATTTACTTACAACACAAAAATTAAATTCATAATTAAAAAAAAAAAAACAAACAAATTGGTGCCGTTTCAAATCAAAACTAGACGCAGCTCATTTTTCCTAATATATGTACATTCACCAGACTTTATGATGATTTTCAAAATTACCTGTAAAGACGTTAATAGCCTGAGTCGCTGAATGTCTCAAAATTATAAAAACTAACTAACTAACTAGTTCCGTCATGACACCTGGGAAATCGTACATGTGCATTTAGGCTTGCGATGTTACAGATTTTCTGTCGCATTTCATTTTTTCGAAAGACAAATGGTCATTTTTTCTTTTTTTTTTCAAATTTCGTGCGATTTATCATGATTATACTCGTTGAAAATTTTGCACTTGAATGTCTACCTTATTTTTCTGTGGCGCT